TCCTCGCAGGCCACGCTCACAAAACGGCAGCGCTCAGTTCTCACACCCCACACTGCAGCTCACGCAGGCATCTGCCACGCCCCACCCCCCCCCACTGTTACTCACTCTCTTTGACATCACAGCCCTCTCTGCTCAACAGCAGCTGTTCGCTCACTCTCCCATTGCGAGCCACCACCCTCCTCCCCCCACACACTGCCTCACAAAGACAAGGCTTACTCGTTAAACCAAGGCCTGAGTCTGGACAGCTAGTGAAAGCTCAGAGGGGAATCCATCCTCAAACAAAAGTATACAGTTGAATGTAAGGAAATGGTGAGAGCTTGCTATGTCAGCAATAACGCAGCTGACGTAAGGAGCAGTGACAGCGGTCGGTACGTTGCTTTTCATATTTTGAAGCATTCTGCTTTGTGAGCAGCGTTCGTCTGCTGCCAGCCGTTCTGGTGGTGTGACTGATCGTTTTAAGATAGCCAGAATTCAGGAGAACAGCAGCCAGATCTGTTAAGCCCTGGCCAGCGAGTGTTAAAAGAGGAAACCGCGCCAAACTGGTTTCTCGGAAAAAAGAGGGCCAGGACGTTTCTTGTTGTCAATGTTTTCTTGAAACGATTTGTTTGTTTCGCTTGAGCATTTTTCTACGTGTGAGCTTCCTTCTTGCAGGTGGAGCAGAGACGTGCTGTGTTGTTCGTGTTTCTGGTTTGCTTTCAATACTAAAGATTGTAAATGAGCGTTTAGAAAGTATTGGACGTGAAATGGAGTCAAATTACTATTAGAAATCCTGTGTCTTTGTTAACCATAATTGTACTCTGAGGAGGGGAATTCCCTTTTTTCCAGTAAATATGGGCTAAAACGATGAGTCAGCAGCACCCCCCTGCTGGACAAAACCAGTGCGTTTAATGTTTAACACAGGATTGTAAAGAATTATATAAGATAAGAAACTAATTCTACTGTTTATTCTGATGTTAATATAGTTATTTTATTTTGAAGGTCTTAGATTGACTTTTGTGAGATGAACCAAATCATCTCTTTCAATTTATTGGGTCTGAGAAAAGGTTTGTGTTGTAGCTCAAATTAATATTAAGTAGTCAACGAAAGCCTTATTTAAGATACTAAATCAATTATTTTCAGAAATGTTTCTCATAATAAATTCAGAATCTTTCTTTCAGTTACAGAATTAACTTAACATCAAAAAGATCTTCATTTTTTCAATGGATTATTGGAATTCATTGTGGATATTTAAAGGGATCTCATCTTAATGTTGTTTAGAGAATTTTTCAGATTTAGTATTTTACCCCCCAAAAATAAAATAATAAAGTAAACATAAACACAACCAAAGAGGTTTTAGTTTTTAAGTGGACAAATATGAAAGAGTTCTCCATAAATTGGATTGGTTTTAGTTTAATTTTGTTTTGTTTTCGGTTTGCTAAATTAAAAGTTCAGATCTTCTAAATGAAGCGAATTTAATCTTTGAACTTCAAATGTCGCCATAATAATTGAGTCAAATCATGATAATATTGTTAGATTGAGTCTGTTGGATCTTTGGAGATTCAATTATTCCTAGTCTGAGATATTTGGTCCTTTTACGATCCGTCGGAATATTTACAATCATACAAAGTTGTTCGCTCTGGTCTGGCAGGATGAATATCACAGATAGGCCTTGCCAACGTATAATCGACGATGAATAAGTCCTTAATGACCCTAACGTTGTGTTTAAGGTATCCGTTAATCCCCTTCAGTTGCAATGGAAATCCCACCCACGTACACACGAGCGGCGCTATGGAAGGCGGTAAATTCCAGAGCTCCGTGGGCAGCAGCGCATGAGCCGCA